TTTATATAACAGTTCCAAATGATAAATTAACTTTTTTATTTTATTTCAGCATCTTAAGCTTGAATATTACTCACAATATGTTCATATTAAAGTATTACATTACATACTTTTCATTGTTTTGTTTTTGAGTAGTTAAAAATATAAGAACGTCAGGTGGCTTCCATCGGGTACTTAATTTTAGACATCTCACTAAAGTTAAGAAACGCGATTTTACTAGATTTATATTTTTTACACTTCACACATTTAGTATATATAGTACATATAGTACATATTTTTGAAGGATATATAAATTTTTATGGCATTAATAATTCATAATTAATTATACTATAATTTTGCAATTACATTTTTTCATATGCTATAAATGTCAACGAAATAGTCTTTATTTGTGAAACTACAATATTTTTGCTTATTTATATATTTTAATATCGGTATCTGCTAGAATGCAATTGTTTTTATCTTTCATGATTTTCTTCTTATTAATGAAAAAGGGATTTTTATTGCAGAGTATTTAATTAAAGTACGCTGCTAACGATTTCACTAAATACGGCTAGAGACCATTTTCGGTATGCGAATGTAATTACGTAAATCGCAGCCCTTGGCGGGGAGACAAAGACAATCTCTTTAGTGAGGACTATTTGGAGCAGTTCCAATACAATATTATTGTAGTTAATATAAAATTGTTTTAATGAATTGAATATTAATATTACAATACAAGCCAAATAATATCTTGTGAATGTAAAATATTATTTATTTTTTACGATTTCGTTTGATTGTTTCCAAATATTTACAAATTTGAGGTCTCTTAAAGAATGTGTGAGTCAGTGAGTAAATCTGAAAGCATGAACACCTACGTTTATTGTAAATGACATTGATATTTGCGGCGATTGAATTCGTTTCGAAAAAAATATATTATAATAGATCGAAAACCGGATTTGTCGGCTACATCCATAACGGGTCTATATCGAAATCCCGACTGTATCGAAATCCCAACAGTTGTTATTATTATAATAATAATTATAAGTGAGTTTCTTAAAAATATTTTTTTGAGTATCCGTCCCCGAGTTAGCGCGTATCCATAAAAATGTAGTAGACTACACTCCGAAATAATTTAAATATGTTATTGTAGAAATTTTTATAATAAAGAATACTGTCGGGATTTCGATATAGTCGGGATTTTGATTGGCCGGATTTCGAACGTCAGGATTTCGATTGCCACCGATCCATAATGTTACTTGCATTGGTTGTATTCATATATTTCATAGTTTAAATAAATAAATGCCTGAGCGAATACAACAATAATAATCTGACTGCAATTTTAGTGCATCGTTAATTGTTTTGATGCATTACAAAATTTTGTAACGAACAGAACGCGAAGACACTAATCGGATTTTGTGCGATATTTTATATATGCCATCTATTTTTGATTGTATGATTCAACATAACATTATTATGTAAATGGAAAGTTTATTTTAAACTATATATATATTTATATGAATCTAAAAAAAATATTAAATTCTTTCCCTACGAGATCATTTATTCCTGTAACACATTTTTATTAATATTAATCATAGTTTTTTTCTATATATGTTCTACTCAATATGCATAATTATTATTAATATTGTGGTCGAAAGTTTTGATAGTAAAAAGGAAAATTATCAAACAATTTAAGCAGAAAACTTTACTATTTTTAAAGAAATTGAATAATTAAAAATGTGGAAATATTAGAAAGGGTTCTGTATATTTTTTTCTTGTCTGTTGCTCTTTTTAATATGGAAATCTGGATATCAACATTAATAATATAGTTAAAAGTAGTCATTGTAATGTGTCTTATTTCAAACTCAGAAATAAAAAAAAAGGTTTTTCTATTGTAAATTATCAAAGGATTTCTCAAAGCACTCTTGTACTGATCGAGATTAAAGCTACTTAGGTTTAGAAAGCTGTCATACTTGAATTACACATGTTGGCATTATTGATATTGTATTTTTTCTTCAAAACATGTTGAATATTAATATTTTTTGTATATACAAAACTCACCTTTTAAAGAGTTTAAAGGACCACTTCATTTATGGAAATGATCTTTCCGTTTTCCAAGTGCTTTATAAATAAATTGGGTATAAATATTTTATTTTTACAGCAACATGTTAGGTAAGAGGGTGGTAGAGGCACACTTCACTTTCCGTGTCGAGCGAAGCTTTTTAAATACGTAATGGTGATGTACGATTTGACCAAGAATGGGGTTGCAAATCCTGCGGAAGTGTGCATTTAAATAATAAATAGGGGCAAACGTAATGCCCGAAATGAAACGAGATATGAAAAGAAGCCGCTGCAAAGAAAATCTTGGGTTGTCTAGGAGGACCTGCGGGGGACGAAGGACTCCGCAATATTTGAAACATGTAGCATTCCACTCTCGTGTATATGGCGTTCGTGTCCCTGGGCCACATGCAAAATTGTTTTTCATCTCCATTGCGAGGCGATAAAAAATCTTTTCTTTTATTAGTTTCTCCGGAATGCTCATGTTATTTATATTTTAGGTATTATTATATTATAAAAATTGATAACATTACTGTCAATATTAGTATATATCATATTTAATAAATTCAGTGATTTTTATTTCTTGGAACAATTAAAAGTAAATTAAAACGATTTATTTATATTGATTTTATGTTATTTGCATAATAACAACATTTAATTTTAGTTAATTGTAAATAATGTAGAATTGTTTTCCAATAATTGAGTTTCACAAAAAAAATATTATTGTAAGAGTTCCAAGAATTACAAAACTTTTGTGATTAGTTTATAGGACTAATTGAACATTGTGTTCAATTACAAATTCATGATGTTACAACTTTAACTATGTGCAGGGAATTGGCGGTTTAAGAGTTTATATTTCGCCTGAATTGAATATAAATGTTGAATCTCTCCCCAAATAAAAGATGTTCCCTACGGGACACATGTGTTATTTCATCCTTCTGTTTTTCTCTTCCTTCATTTATTTCATTTGGTAGGTAACTTCTATAGGAACATAATATTTTTATGAGATTATCGTAGAGGCAAATACCAGACGTTGGCGGGGATTTGAACTTTGACAAGGGATGCTTTATAAATGCGGACAAGGTCATGGGATTTAATATTCACTGTTCCAACAGCTCCTAACTCCTTCCTGGATGAGATGTATGCATCTACACTAGGTTGCTTGTGAGTTAAGAATTGGCCGCTCACATAAACATCTAGGGCCGCAGGTCGGTGTTGGATTTGAATTGAGGACGAGGAAGCCACTTAGCAATGCTAGACCGCACCACTCTTCAAGGGGTGCGCATAAATCCTGCTCGCTTTGGTCAATCCTGTCTTTATTTGTATGCGGAAGCTGGAATACTGGTCCAAAGCAAACTTCATGATTTGAACATTATATTTAGTAGTCTTCACAATAAATACATTAAGCAATTTCTATGTGTGCCTTTTATGGAGGTCAATCGTTCAACAATATATTGTAAATAGTCTAAAATTCAATTGGTTCTTTGAAAAATTGAAAGACATATTTTATTATAATCAAGTGGTTGGAAAGTGTACACATATATTTTATACTTCATAATTCGTATAGCGACATTTGTGTAAAATTATTGAGAATATTTTCGGGATTTTAATTTATTTTGTCTTTGTATGTTTATTTTAATCCAGTTTCCGCTTATATTTAAAACACAGTAATTAAAATATGATTTACAACTTAATTAACTTTTATTATATGCGCATAAAGTGTTCGTTTATAGCAGAACGAACAGTCGGCGCTCTAATATGAAACAAGTTAGTTATATCATACCGTGTTATTTATTATTAAATACGCAAATATGATTATAATTTGTATTACAGCATAGATGGCTTGTTTTTCGGATTTCATTCGTTTACAATGAAAATTATAGGCTATATTTAGGAGCTGAAATAATATTTAATTATTTTTATATGCGCAATCTGTAATAAAATAATTTAAGAATATGATTCTATAAAGGTTATTACATGGGGTTTCTAATCAGGGAATTCATCTATTAGAAAATTAGGTAAAATATGTTATAACCGTTGATAGGAAGAAGTTTTAGTAGATTTTTTTCGACATTATTCTGACTGACTAATTATATTGAATAGTTAATGTTTAGACTTGTATATGTGTTGGTAGTTGTCTAAGTATAAAGTCTATCCACAAGACAATTATCTTTGTTAATTAAAACACTTGAGGTATAGTGTATAATAATATATAGATTGCCATAACAACAAATTTCAAGAATCTATCTACTGGAATGTGGATTAATTTAATATGCTGCTAAATTGACGTCTGCTATTCATATGTTTAGAGTACATCAAAGTACTAAGATGTGATAAATTTGGCTACGCTGAAAATGAGAAAATCGTGAACGCGCGCACTCTGAAACACATACAAGCACAGAAGATATTATTTATGTAATGTGACCATTCATATTATTATTATTGCTGCATAAAATTACCTGGACTTTTTCCAATGTGTGACTCATTTTTGGTCGTTTAGACTTTAAATAATATTGCAGGGATTTTTTTTCTTCTATTCCGAACGTATGCCAACTGAACGCAGACCTCAATGACACGATTTATTTATAATTACGCAAGAGAAAATATAATAAAACTTGCAAGTTACATTCATTATGAATGGAATGCCTTCTTTGTCAATAGCTAATAAAGGCTTATATATTATAGCTAATTATATGATATTAGAATCAACAGCATGTTAAAACATATTACTGTGAATTATATTTTTTGTAAGTGTAGACATCCAAAGAGTATCCGCAAGAGAGTTTGTGTAACTTTTTTCATGCTTTTTTTTATCTATATTTGAACATAGTTTTTAATTTAACATGGAAGTCATGGTAATTTTTAAATGATATTCAGTATTGAATTGTGAGCATTGTACCTACATTTATTAATTTTGATACTAGTAATATATATATATGTTTTAATTAATATTAACTATTTGTTTTTAGCCTGACAAATTGAACGTGCATAAGAATGACACCGAGAGCTGGGACTACACAGTATCAATAAGTAAGTGTTTAATTTTAATTTGTTCATTATTATCATTTATTTACAATTGACACATATTACAAACAAAATCTATACATTCCACAATAATGTGTATTCTAATATCGATGATATATTAAAGTAGTTGCTATAGTAAGCAATAGTTCAAGATTTAAAATTTTAACAATAATATTAAGGTGCTTAAAGTAATAATATTTGGATTGTGAAAGATAGTTAATTTTATTTAATATAAAATTAGTAAATCCTTACTTTCTCAATATTATATTTATGTTAACAGAAACAGAAAAGTGTAATTAACCTTACCATAATTGTACGAAAGAGAACATTATGTTGTTTTAGGTCATTGGTATATAAATTGCAAGTGAAATTGTTTTATAGTCATTTACATATAACATGCTCAAAATAACTAGGAGAGAGGAAAAAAGTAATGAAACAAGTACATAAGTAATATTACTTGTTCTTGAACTTATTATTTGCGAAATACATTAGAATGAGGAAGCAAATGATAAAATCAAATAGTTTTAATGCGTCACATATACTAGCAAACATTAAATTCTAACAAAAATGTGTTTACCAGAACACTGATATTCACTTTAAATACGATCATAACTTTCAAAGTATAAAAAAATCCTTAATTATTGAAACTGTATTATAGTCTAAATTGGATATTATATGTAATTTAACTAAGATAGAGTTGCCATCTATTAGGTTTAAGATTTTTCTAAATTTATAGTGCTAACTGTACACTAATTTGCTAAATACACGAATATGTTCATGACAATTTTTTGGTATCGGATTAAGAAAAGTTAGTTAGTACCGTAATTAGTTGGGGCTTACGATTAATCACTAAACCTCTAAATGTACTACTTCATCATCGATAAGATGGATCGAGGTTATTAATTAATTACGGCAAATAATTAGTTGGTAACTAAGACCCCGAGTCTAAAACCTGCCCTGAAATCTCTCTCACTCTCTAGTTTTTTTTCTCTCTGTTGCATCTACTCTCTCTAGATTTATAAATTAGCGCAAATGAAAGCGATCCAATTAACTTGGTATACATGCATGTGGAAAATATTTTTGATTTCCTTCTGAATTTCCCCCGGTCTGTATATATTTTTATATTCCCGAGGGAGATTTATTTGCGCTGCGCCTTCGAAAGATGTTCGTGTTTAATGAAAACTCCACTTTTAATGCGATCCCAATCGTCAGATGATTGCAGTTCCGACAAATCTTAATACTTAAATAACTCGGAGAGAGAAGTAGAAAAAAAGAAAATTCGGATGAGAAAAAACGGTTATGTAATACACGTCGATATTCACTGAATATAAAAGGTGAATCGAAATCGATTTAAGTGGGGGTACAGGAATTACATATTTTATGGGTGGACAGATTATTGATTTTTAGTGTCCAGTATTTGACAGAACCCGGACTTTTGTATTCCGTTGATGGAGTGTTTATATGTACAAAGCGGATTCGTTCCGTTGTCGTTTTTGTTTGATAGTTTTATAGAAAATTCATAAAACGATGTTCTGAAGAATAAAAATGGAAATACCTGCATCGTATTTTTTCTTTTTTTACTTTGCATTTTCATATTTTCCGGAACGTAGGGAAAGCGAGATCATTAAAATGTCGATCAAAATCAACGTGCTCTCATTTCGGGAAAATCGTCACACTCCGCATTAAATCGCAATTGTGGCTCCTAGAGACCTTCAAATACACAAATTACTGTAATACATGTTAACTCAAGGTCGTTTCCTATTTTTATTATACTAATGTATAAATGAGTTATGTCTGGAGTACTTCTAATCCAATGTACCTGTTTTTAACTAAGAATTTTCAAAAAAAGGTATATATATATACTAAAGATTATGTTATGCATCATTCAAATTAGTTTTGATTAACAAAAATATATGTTAGACATAATTTATTATATTTTTAGTGTGAGAATGAGTTTACAATGTGACTGAAACCTTAAAAATAATGACGAAAATGAATTAACACACATATCGCGTTGAAATATATAGTAATCACCGTTTTTACGCTACCTACAATATACACGGTTTTTTTACGCTCTTGAATGAACTTAAAATATATATATTATATTTAGGAATGCGCCACAAAATATTATTTTGACGTACACTGTCATGTGAAATATTTAAAGTACTTTGGCTACGTGAATCTTGACGTCTGTCGCTGTATTTTTGATGTTTAAATCGTGCTATCGTGTATATACTTTATGAAAATTTACTACAAATAAAGATACAAAAGTGAGCGGTAGGTATAAAAAGGTTGACTACCTCTGCTATATATATAGTTTATAATATATACATATTTTAAATGAGATTTATATGGAATAAATATAAATAATAAAATATATTTAACTAATATTATTTTTATTATTATTGTTTATTTAATACGTTTTTTTTAATGATTGTTAATTATTGTAACACGATAACACTCGTGTACATAAAAAACACAAGATATACCAATCTTCAACCCGCTAGGGCGTGAGTCCGTGACGTGGGAAGGTTCAGGGCGCCACTTCCTTTTATAGAGAGGAAGAACTCTATCAACTGCTTCCAGATCAGCAACTTCTTCTCCGACGGTGGGCCTTAGCTCCTCTAGAGCACCAACACCGTCCTCTTGGAGATTACAAATATATCAGAATATCTTCTTAAACTGGAGACCTCAACCGTCTTCTTTCGCGGTTCGCTGCGGTCTCCCGGAATTTTGGAAACATAGTTGCAACGTGGAGCGCACTTGCAGCGTTGTCGATTTTACCACGTTACATTATTTATGTTGAATAGTGTAATTGGACATTCGCGGTTTCCGTTTTAATCACATATTCGATGAACATAGATTTTCCATTAATAAATTGACTATTATTACTTTCCCAATTGTTTTCCGGCAATCAATATAATAGAAAACTAAATGAACGGACGGCGGCGATGCACGCTATTACTGTATTTGTGTAACTTATTGAAAATAAGGTCATCAACATCTAAATATTATTGCTTGAAAAATAAATTAACATATTATTTCTGTTTCTAAAATTGAATTCAATAATAGAAAATGGAATTGAAATTAATATATGAGGATAATAGACGGAAAATCTGAATTTTTGGAAGCAATATGTATGGAAATTCGCTTTTTTCTATCATCCTTTCGCTTTTGTAATATGAAAATCCCATCTCGGTGCTGTGCTGGATTTAAACTTTAGACACGATTAAGATTGGTGTTTGAAACGGTAATAGGAAGTTTCTTAATTAAATTATTCGCTTAAGTAATGTACATATAGCAACTGTCGTGTTTTTTTTTGGAATATATATATATATATATATATATATTATGGGGAATTTCCGATTCAGCAACCCTAGTTTTATACAATGTTACAAGTTTATTTTACTAGGTTTAATTTTAAATTCTGACAAATTTCTAGTGGTTTATAAATAATGCTGCATGATTTTCTTATCCTTTTTTGTATGAGATTGAACATAAAATGAATTAAGTCATTAGTATGAAGTTGATTTAATGTTTTCAATTTAAAATAATACATCCATTTTTTCTAAACCATTGATTTGTTGGTTTTGAGCATCGGATCAAAAAATCATTGAGTAAAAAAAAATAGCATCATGTTATATAACCGGAGAAAGCTAATGAGAAAACAATAAAATGCTTTAATGTGCGGAGCATTTTTTGTCCACATTTTTATTCCACTGAATTTCAGGAATGCCTATTAAATTATTACGGACATAGCGACACCGACAATGTTGGTGGCTATATTCATATTTGATAATATTTTTCATTGTATTTTCCTTGGCAATTAGAAAGCAAAGATTACTTGTTTTGTGTAATTCTTTCTTATTGGCATACCACTCTTAATTCGAAGCAATTGCGAAATTATAAGAAGCAAATCGTCCGCATCCCGAGTTTATCCCATTAAAATCGCATTACCAGTTCTCTCCGCTTCCCTGCTTCCAAACCGTCGTATACAGTCTGAATTCTGCTATGCCTTATGAAAATTTCATGCAAGCATTGATTTTCAGTTGACCATGTGCCGCTTTTTTCCTGCCGATTAAATGCAGGGAGTTCTCTATGCATTTGCACTTTGCAAGTTTACGTTAAATTTGACTGGCATAGGGTCATTTCTTTTTCGTTATATGTGTGCGTTCACCATTCAAATTACTTGGATAGGTGTGTGTGTGTGTATTTGGATATTCTATGTTTATGCAACAAATCGCGTGCATTTTTATTTCACAATCTGGATTTGAAATTACGAAGCATCGTTTTCATTTATATATCTCGGGATCACAATACTGAAAAAACAACACAATCTCCGCTCTGATTTTATTGTTATAGCGCACATATATACACACATGTTCTAGCCATCAATCCTGCTTTTGTAAGCATTCAATTCGAAAAGCGCTGGCATACATGAATTGATAAAACCCTATAAAACAAACAACATTATCTAAATCGTAATAAATCAAAACTGCTTTTTACTTTATATATTAAAATATGCTCGTTCAATTTCATTTATAATTGTTTCTAAATTAGAACTGCAATATTTTAAGTTTTTATTTTACTCCAATTAATCATGAATTATAGATGAAAACTAAAGAAAAAAAACATTAATAATGAAAATGAATGAAGTAGAACTTCCTAAAGTGAAGATGAAAATAGTGAGTTTGTGACAATAAAAAAGAAAAGGTTGTTTCTTTTAAAATAGCGATAGTGATAAATTTATTCATAAAATTTACTCTTGTTTTCTGAATAGCTATCATTATATTTTGAACTAAATATGTATTTCCAAAACTTATAATAGCTTTTATTTCCATATTTTGCACTTACCGATTTTATTTACACTATTTTCATTCGCGTAAAAAAATCCACGTGCAACCGAATGTTTCGTAAATTCAGGGACGCCTGTATAATATTCCATTATTTATATGTATTAAACATTTGTACAGGCAGGTTGTACAAATGCTTAGTACGTTTGGGGC